AGAACAGGCAGATGGACAAAGTACACTGCTGAGGGGAGCAGTGGGCGGGCCAGGAGAGGTCTGCCATGCCATGTGGATCTCCTCCGGGGCAGGCGGGGACCGAACTCATGCAGAATTGGCTTAAGCTTCTTTAGTACAGTGCTTTAACCCGTTGCGCCAACAGGGAGAACCCTAAAGATTTACTTTTATTTATGCATATAAGAACTGGAATGTAGGCCTGAGGTATAAAGGGTGATTGAGGACTCACCAGAGACAGGCAGAGGGCACAACAGGTGGAATGACTGAAATACACTGCTGAGGGGAAGCAGCGGACAACAAAGAGGAGGTCTACTGTGGGTCAATACCCTGACCAGGGAATGAATTCATGCCACAGAGGGAACTCATAGCTTGACAGTACTGACTTTAACCCCTGAGGCACCAAGGAAGCCCTGGAGAGCTTTTTAAAGGAGAAAAAAGATTGAACACCAGGTGGGATTTAACCAAAGCTGTCACAACTCTGGTTGTTTCCCCTCATAATCCATATTACTGAATCAAAAAGCTAACTGTGAGCAAACAGTTTAGGCAATTTGTTTGAACATATACTCCTGTCTTTCTAGGAGGGATTGAGTCATGGTACAATTTGTTTAGAAAATTAATATCCATGTGAAAATTATTAAATTCATGTGGTATCTTTTTGAACCAAAATATTTTACAAGTTTTTGTTTTTGGAGCATAATGATAACAATGGTAATCACTATAGTGAAATCTAGACCCTTTCTAGTCTTTCAAAATGGCAAATTTTTCACATTTTTCCATAAAATATGGAAGATGTTAATTTTCAAACTTTAAAGCAAAAAGATTTCAGATTCTTTAAAGAAGCAGAAGTCACAGCAATAATGAACACAGAGAATAAGGGATTATTTTTAGCATTTATCCCATAAAAGTGGCCTCATAAAAGCCACATTCATATCCTGCGGAAACAGGGGTAACAGAGACCTTGGCTCAGAACACGAGCAAGAAGGAAAGAATATAGCCAATTCTGTGATATATTCAGAAGTAAGGTGTTTTCTCCAAATCTAGAGATTTTTATCATGGTAAATGGATCTCAATCTTGGGATACAGAATAATCTCTAATTATATCAACCATCAGCCTCCTTTGTTTCATCAAAAAATGCACCTTTTGATACTCAAGGTATTTTTGATACATATGAGCTGGGATAGGAAGTAGGTCATCATTCAACAAACTCTAAGTGGTTGGTATACATTAAGGTCTTTAGAAATAGATTCTTAGAAGTATACAACCAACCAAGGCTTACTCAAGAAGAAATAGAAAATACCAATAGCCCAATAACTAGTAAGGAAATTGAAACACTAACCAACAGTCTTCCAAAAAACAAAACTTCAGGACCAAATAAATTCACCAAAAGATTACACCAAATTTTCAATTATGATCTTATATCTACCCTTCACAAATGCTCCAAAAAAAAAAAGAGTAGTAGAAGCCTACTAGCTGTTGTGTAAGAGCAACATTACTCTAATTCCAAACTCCATACAAGCATTTCAAAAAATAGAAATTACAAATATCTCTAATGAAAATAGATGAAAATTCATTAAAAAGATTAGCGAGTTGTATTCAACAATACCTTAAAAGATACATATACTATGATACAGTGGGATTTATTGCAGGGACTAAATGATGGTCCAACATGCAAAGTCAATGTAGCACATTAACAAAATGAAGGATAAAAAGCATATGATTATCACAATACTCACAAAAGCATTTAAAATTAATCAATACTAATTTATGGTATCTTTCTATTTATCTATCTATCTATCTATCTATCTATCTATCTATCTATCTATCTATATATATATATGTGTGTGTGTGTGCATAAAAAGAAAAGTATCTCAACAGAATAAAGACCTTGTGTGACAAACCCAACACTAGCATTATAATCAATGGTGAAAATTGAAAACTTTCTTCTAATATCAAGATAACACAAGGATGCCAACTATTACCACTATTACTCAACCTAGTATTTTATGTCTTAGCCAGGGCAACTAGACAAGAAAAAGAAATAAAAGAAATCCAAATAGGAAAGGAAGAAGTAAAGCTGTCACTATTTGCAGAGGATATGATTTTATACATATGTAACCTTAAAGACCTAAAAAAAAAAAAACCCTACTGGAAATAAATTGTAGGCTACAAAATCAATATACAAACATTGGTTACATTTCTATGGACAAATGATGAACCACAGGGGAAAAAATTAAGGGAACAATCCTGCTATCAATCTCAACAAGTGACAGTTAAAGATGTTATGCTGAAAACTTACAGCACTACCAAAAATAAAAAAATAAAAAAGGCATAAACCAAGGGAAATATACACTGTGTTCATGGATTGAGAAATTAACATGAGAAATAACATAAATGCTATCCCTCATAAAAAGATAGCATTTTTGTGTAAAATACTACTCAGATTTAATGCAATCACTATCAACTACTTAATGGGATTCTTCACAGCAGAATCGAAAAATCATAGTTTATTTCCTACTACAAAAAAAAAAAATCAGAGAACACAAATATTCCTAAGAAAATGCAGCAATTATACTACCTAATTTCAACCTATACTACAAAGTGATGGTACTCAAAATAACAAAGTATTAGAATAAAAGTAGACACACCAGCCAATAAAATAGAAATGGGGGGTAGAAATATCCCTATAAGTATATGGACAACAAATTTATGACAAAAGGCTAAGAACATGAAATGGTATGGGAGAGACCCTTCAGTAACTTATTTTGGAAAACTAGATAAGTCACATGCAAATGAATGACACTAGATTGATATCTTATACCATGCACAAAAATTACTTTAAAAAGACTTGTAGACAAGATGACCCCATAAAATAAAAAATGAAAAGATATATTACGAACTATTAAATGATGTCCTTGTGGATATGTGTCTAACAGATAAGGAAATAAAATCAAAGCTAAGCAATATAACTATATTTTTAAAAGTTCTACACAGCAAAAAAAAAATCATGAAAACAAAAAGACATGCTATTTAATAGGAAAAAAAAGGTAAGTAAAACATATCAGAGAAAGGGTTAATACTCAAAATTCATAGGAACTCAAAAATCAACAACCGTAGCTCACCAATTTTTTAAAATGAAATGAAGGTTTGAATACACAATTCACCAAAGAAGACAGAAAAATGGCCAACAGGTCCATGACATGAAAATATGTTCACCTTCTCTTAATGTTGGAAGAATGCAAATCAAAATAGCAATGATATACTGCTGCCTCACTCTGTCCATAAAACAAAAGCCAAGTGTTGGTAAGGATGAAAAGAAAAAGGACCCTAATACACTGTTGGTAGGATTGCTATTTGGGGCTGCAATACAGAAAACAGTTTGGGGATTCCTCAAAATATTAAGGGTCGAAATATCATATGATCTAGAGCTCCACTTCTGGGTATTTCTGCAAAAACGAGATATGAACGCCATGTTATCAAAACAGTTTTCACAATAACCAAGAACTGAAAACAGGCTCCCAGAGGATTTGATAAACATATGGTATCTATACACAATGAAATGAGGGAGGTAAGGAGGATTTCTGAAACTGATATTTGCAGTAACTTCAACAGACCTACAGCATATCATGCTAAGAGAAATTAGTGAGACTAAAAAAAATGAGTAATATATGATCTCACTCTTACCTGGTGATAAAGAAAGAAATGAACAAACAAAACACGTAAGAGTAAACAAACAAAACAGCAGTTACTAGAAGGAAGGACTAAGGGTTATGCTAAATGGGCTATAAGAGTTCAATCTATGATGACAGATGTAAATTACTTATTGTGATGAGCATAATGTAGTGTATATATATATACACATATCTATCTATCTATCTATGTTGGTATATGTCAGTATACCTAGATAATGTCATAAACCAAACTTACTAACCATAAAATGGGCAGGAGGTGGAGAAGACCTACAGACCTATCTTCTGGAAAACCTCACATCCTGCTGTCCTGGAACTTGCAGGCATAAAAAAGAGTTCGGCCTCCTCCCTCAATCAATCAATGCCAGTGCCTTTACTCCTTGACCTGCAGTTTCCACCAACAGGTCTTACTAGACTCACTGCTAGGTCCCACTGGAGGTTAAAGCCAATATGGGTGCTTCTGAAAACAGCCAGCAGACTGTATACATCGTCTAGGCACAGGTCAGGCAGAAAATCAAGATGAGGACCCCTTAATTTCGTGCACACTTGTACTTTGACTTATCGCTATCCTGACTTCCTAGGCCCTGGCAAGCAAGACCCATGCAGTTACTGCATCAGAGGCCACAGCCCATTCTTTGTGTAGGCCCTTCACAATGTTCATTCTGGTCCTCAAAGTTACCCCTATTTGTAAACACTAGCATCTCTTCACACAGCAGATGAGATCTGCTGCAATGCAAGCCATCGATCAGCAACACAGCCAACACAAGGCAAAGCCTTCACAGCCCTCAACAGTGTTAGGATATTGATTCCTATGCTCACGTCTGGAATTGGGTGGGCTGCCCAAGGCAGAGGGGGCTCAAGTATCAGCACTACAGACACGGAGTCTATTCACAATTTCTCTGAGCGTGTCTTCTGAGGCGCAGCCAGGAGTGCGGCTGTGTTTGGTGGGGTAGGAGGAAGAGGGAGGCAGTGAGAAAGGATATAAGAAGCCAGCACCCACAAGCTGGGATGGAAATGGCAGACAACCAAGGACAACATGCCCCATATAGGGCAGGGGAAAGACGCTCGGCCTTCCAGAAACCTCATCAGAATTTAATTTTGAAGTTCCCCCATATAGGGCAGGGGAAAGACGCTCGGCCTTCCAGAAACCTCTTCAGAATTTAATTTTGAAGTTCTCTCACCTCCTGTAGCAAAAATGATGCGGACAGAGCCCTGACGCCAAAAGCGAGGAGACCACAGAGTTCTGGGCACCCAAGCTAAGAGCCAGAAGCCCCAGCTCTCAGGCGCTGCTCCAGCGTGAGTGACTCCGCCCCCAGGGCGCGCTAGGCCCCGCCTAGGACGTGACTCCGCCCCCAGGGAGCGCTAGGCCCCGCCCAGGACGTGGCTCCGCCCCCAGGGCGCGCTGGGCGGGGCCTCACCTGAGAAATGCTTCCGTTGCTCCGGTGGCTTCTGGGAACTTCTGCCGGCACAACTGGGAGGAGTAGACAGGGTCGTGGGGGCCTCAGGGACAGTGTGACGCTAAATTGCAAGTAAGTGTGAAGAGTCTTAGGCATTGATAAGCAAGGACAGTAAGCTTGGGCGGATTCAGGGACGCATCCGAGGGTACTTTCCAGGGTGGTGGGAGAGTATAAAGGAGTGGCGGTTCCCGCTTCGGTTTGGCTGTTGTTTTGGAGTCATTTGGATGAACAGCCCCACGGGACTGCTGGTTCCTCTCTAGTGGTCCAGGACACACGCTCAGGTGAGTGTAAAGAGTGTGAGGAAGCTGGGAGTAGAGCAAAACTGGTACGTGGAAAAGGGAATTAAATAAGAAACTTTCTCATAAACTCCAGCTGCACAGGAACCGTCTTTGCTTCAGGTTTAGTCCAAAAGAGAGTTGAAGAGATGGATGGTGGAAGCCTCCCAGTAAGTCCTTGCTTTTCCATTGCCTGTCCAGAGTGCCACTTCACCTCTCTGCCCTCGGAGCCCGCCACCAAAGTGGGTGTTCCCTATACGTTAAGCGTCAGTTAATAGAATGATTCTGGACACGAAGCCAAAAATGGGAGTAGGGCCCTCCCTGGTGGAGCTATGGGTTAAAGCGCAGCACTATGAAGCTATGGCAGCCACTGCAGCAGGAGTTTGATCGAGGCCAGGAAGCTGACCCACATGGCACAGCAGACCTCTCTTGTCTTGCTTGTTGCTCCGCACAGCAACATATTTCAGGCCATATGCCTGTTCTTTTCCCCACTCTGGCTCCAGTGGATCCTCTTACCACCCAGCATCTCTGGCCTGTACCCCAATTCTTATAAGCATAAATAAATAAAATCTTTATTTAAAAATGGGAGCAAGCATTCATTCGGCTTCTGGAAATAGTACCTCTGTTATTGTCTTTAAGCTTTATTTATTACCCCATTTTCAGTCCATGTGAGATGGTTCTGTTACCTCAACACTCAGCATATTAAGAATGTGGGGGCTCTCCCTGGTGGTGCAGTGGGTTAAAGCACCGCACTCCGAAGCTCTCCGTAGCCGCGTTAGCACGAGTTAGATCCACACGGGAGCTGACCCACTTGGCATGGTAGACCTCTCCTGATCTGCCCACTCCTCCCCTCAGCAGTGTACTTTGTCAGTCTGCCTGTTCTGTTCCCCACTGTCTCTGGTGAATCCTCTCACCCACCACACCTCTGGCCTGTACCCCATTCTGTAAGCATAAATAAATAAATCTTTAAAAAATAATAATAATAATATGTGACCAAAAAAGGCCTCTCATTCTTTTGTCAACAGTAATTGATATGGAATGAGCATATGACCGAAATGGAGATTATAAGATACTAGGGGTCTTTTGAAGAGAGTAGTGGGAGAAATATCTGTTTAGCTGCATCTGAAGCTTGGGGGATCTAGCTATCAACTTGCCAGACAGAGTATCTTACAATGAAGTCAACTCAGACCTTAGATCCAAGAAATGGAAGAGAAATTGAATCATTGATGGCATCACCTAAACCCCCTTATATGGACCCTGAAGCCTAACTGTGAACCCTGCTACTTGATACCATCCTTAGTATGAGAATATCTCAGGTACCTGAATGAAAATACCGCCCCCCCCCCCGCCTTTTTTTTTTTTTGAGTGAGTGAGTGAGTTCAGTTGCACTTACTGGCACCCAAAAATTAGTTACAATATAAAGAAACTTTCGATACCTGGCTTCCTCTTCCATGCAAGCACACTAAATCAATATATATTTCCTTCTCTGTCTTTATTCCTTCTATAAGAAGAATAAAGAAACCTAGTAGAAAGAACTGAGAATATTAAATGGGATAATATAAAAGCAAAAATTTGTCCCACTGCGTTGAACAACAACGCTAATTTTCTAAATTAAACCAGATTCAAAGCCCCATATTAAAGGGTAAAAAGATAACTAGCAGTAGTCATCACTAGGCACCTGTATTTATTGAATTTAGTCTTCATTGCCAAATAGATATGTAGGGAAAGAGAAAGCCTCTTACTGAGTCCATCATGGGATACTTATTTCCCACGCTCATTTGGCACATTAAAAGACACCGTGACTGCACAGTTTTTGTGCCAAGTGTGAGCAATGTAGTGTTTTGTAAAACTTCCTGAAATAGTGGAGCTTGACAATTTGTCATATGAGCAAATATCATTTCATCCCTTAAAAAAATGTGGTGACCCTTAGAGTTCTTGCATACATAAACCATCTACTATTTAACAAACTCATCTTTATATCTTTTCTCAAATAGAGAAAAGGAGGAGGCCCTGCTATCTCTAAGAAACTTTCCCTCTGTTCAATCCAAAATCTTCATCAGTGCCTTGACGCTGCTTTTCTGGGAACATCCATATAAATGTTCTCCCACATGAGAGTCAGGATAAGACTTTTGCAGATCAGTAGACATGACAGCTGTTAACAACCCCATGATACCAAAAACCCAGAAATTCCTGTTAAACAGAGGAGGAAAGTTAACTTTTATTCCTCCTGGAGTCCCCATTGGCAGAGAGTAGAACTAGCAATCAAAAGCTTGATAAGTTATAATGCCTCAGGTAACGTTTGCTTATAACAGGGTCAGAATTCCCACAGTGGAAAATTACCCATTCTTAGCATTTTTAACCAAATCTCCCTCCCGCAGTAAGCACCTAATCTTGCAATGATCATTTCCTTACTTGCTCTGGCCACTGTGACCTATGATAAAAGGACAAGATCTAGAGTCTCCTGGGATAGTTAAGAAGACAGCTTCCACATGTCTCTGAACTGCCATTTGGCCTCCTAATGAAGACAAGGTATCCTTGTGACTCCAGGAAAATAGCAGCCTAATTTAGGCATTGATTCAAACTTAGTTGATTTTTCTAGAAGAAATGTGTCAAGAAAGAAACCCTCTCCCATTCTTTGGGCCCCTTCTTTGAGACTGCAGGTAAGGCCCAGTTCTAGGCACTAAACCTTATTTAAGGCCTCTAGGAATCTTATCCCTTTGGTAGTCCTTGTACCAGTGAAATTCACAATGCTTGAAATTGGCACCAGGGTCTACCTGCCCAGTCTGTGCCAAGGTGCAAAGGTACCAGTCAACTCATACATATTTGCCCTGACATGAGGTTCAGATATGAGTTCAAGGCTATAAGAATTCATAGTTCATTCCCATTGCATCCTATGTTTGTGACATTCTTCAGGTTCCACACCATATCACCTTGAAATTGCACAGTCCTTTGATCCCCAAGTATGTTCACGGAGTATTTGAAATATTTTCCACAGAAATAGCCTCACCTCTCTAGACATTGTTCAGTTGATAAACCTTTCCACTTCATATGACAATTCTGCTTTCACAATGGAACAGAAATCTGGGGGAAAGGCAAAATGGTTCTAGAAGCAAAAAAAAAAAAAAAGGTATGACATCACTCCTGGATAGTGCTGTCACCTCATTTGGACAGGTTACTTCCTAAATATGCTGAGGATGCAAACTCACTCTTACTATTTCATCTACTCTTGCTCTAAATGCAAGTATTGTACACCAGGTATAACTTGATGTTTTACTCCAGGCAAGTATCTATTCCTACTAAACTACTTAATCTCTTTGATTGGAAGTCCACATGTCATTGGCACATGGAAAACCTTCTGGAATGATAATATATGTGTGTGTGGGGGGGTGTGAGTGGGTGGGTGTACATACACACTGTGGGATATATATAGCATACTATATGTAATATATAGCATGCTATATATAACATAGCATGCTATATATAACATAGCATGCTATATATAGTAATTTTATAGTATAGTATATACTATATACTATATATACTATACTCTTGATTTCACCATTACTGGTTTTTTCATCAGTAGTTAAATAATTTTCTCTAATGTTCATGCTGTGAGAATCAAATTTGAAATGATGAGTGGTCTATATTAAATACATTAATAAGAACAGAAATTAAACCTCGCAGCCCATAGGCTTTGCTTCCTCCTGTTGCTAAATCCAGTTGATTCTATAGAAGCTTCTTTAGGTCTGTAGGACAAAGAGAGAGTCATTTGGTGCCCAACGTTTCCTGCCCTTTTGGCTTTAAGACTAAGAGGGTGAGTGAGATAGTTCTAAAAGTTCCTTTCACATAACCATTCATAGTAAATTCACATAGCCTTCTATCTGTACCACTTTCTTCCTCTTCTTTCGATACTTTATACCTCCAACATATCCTCAATTTTCACTTTAATGACATGGATATAGGTGAGATAAAGGATTTGTTTGTCACTTTATCTACTTTTGCTTCAGTGTACAGGGTGGAATGTCCTAAAATAACCCTTGTGTTAGGAGGTGTTCAAAGAAGGCTGCAATAATCTCTACCTTTTAATATTCACAACCACATGAAATTAATCTCCCCATTCTATGTTAAGTTGAACTTAGAAATTTAGCTCTAAAATGTAAGTCATGGGTGTCATTTCATGTATTCATTACTAAAGATTGTAACTTCTGTCTCACTAGCAGACTCCCAGCTTTGATGAAGCAAGCTGCCATATTGGAATGACCCATGTGACACAGGCATGAACTGAGGCCTCCAGCTGACTCCAACCTATAGAGAAAACAAGATCAATGGCCTCAGTCCATCATGCCTTGAGGAAATGAACCCTTCCAAAAACTACTTACATGAGCACAGAAGTGGGGCCTTGATCCTTCCCCATTCAAATCTTCAGATGATAGCCAAGCTCCAGCTAACATCTTAGCAACTTTGGAGAAACCCTGAAGCCGAGAACCCAGGTAAGCCTTGCCTGGATTCCTGACCCACAAAAGCTGAGAGAAAAATGTGTTTTTCAAGACACTAAATTTTGAAGTACTTGTTCCATAGCAGAAGATTATGCATACACACTAAATTACTATTCCATTGGTGTGAGGTATAGCATGGCTTTAGTATGGCACCAAAGAGGGAAGCAAGCTCCTTGACAAATTCCTGCACATATTGTCTTCACACTCAAGACTACTTCACACTTTTTGATTCTGGAATATATCATTGTGTTCCATAAAAACCTGAGTAGCCTCTGGAAGCACTAGTTTAGATAGTGTTGGAATGAATGGAGAATATGGAATCACTGAGTAGGGGTAATGGTGTCATTCTTGCCCTCTGGTTTTCTTCCTTTCCCATTTACTCCACTATTATATTTTCCTTATTCTTAGATTCCTCTTCCCCACATTCTGATGACCATTGTAAATCTCTATAAGTTATGGCCAGGTGATCACTTGAACTTGCAATTGCTATCAAACTAGACAGTCTAAAGATATTTTCCAAGGAACAGCTCTTCACATTCATTCCCATTACTTGAGGAATTCTCACAATATGGAGGCCTTATTGTGAAACTCAAAATGTACCTTTTCAGAAACTTAACATCCACACATCATAGATTTTGCACCCAGCACCCACATGTTCTCTAGACTCTGCCTTGACCAATACAATTCCATAATAGCAAAACTTTTCTATGCACAGCTTCTCAGTGACCACCCACCTGTCAGATACTCTGGAACCAGCAACATTTTCTAAATGAAATTAAGCTGCTATTTGTCAGAAAAGAAAATCCCTGGTTATTTTCAGAGATACAGGTTTTGTCCTTCATCCTGCTCCAGTAGGGCAGAATAAAGGGAGAGAATGAACTGCTCTGTGTCCACATTAGGATAAGGTAAGAATTAGGGGACATGCACAAACCACAAATTTCCTAAAGGAAAGATGGGCTCTCCGGAGTATATGACATTTATTCTTCACCAGGAAGCTCAAAGGAAAGATTTTTATCACTAACCTCAAGGTCTAAATACCCCTCCGCCCCATCCAATTCCACAATATGCTGGAGGCCACAAGGAAGAGCTCTGACTATATAGAGTAACCCACCCTATAAATATATATAATGAAGGAGCAGGTGAAAAGACAATTTAGGCTAAGTTCTGGGCTTTTAAGGTTTTTTTTCTTGCTTCGAAAAGGACTGTAAGTTTTTATTCTTTCCATTAAAAAAATAAGAGTCTGGCCCTCCCTGGTGGTGCACCAGGTTAGGATGCAGCACTACTAGTGAGCTACAGCCACTTTAGTGCGAGATCCCTGGCACTAGAGGTGATCCACATTGTGCGGCAGACCTCTCCTATCTTGTCCACTGCTTCCCTCAGCAGTGTACTTCATCAATCTGCCTGTTCTGCTTCTCATTCTGTCTTTGGTGAAGCCTCTCACCACCCCTACACCTCTGGCCTGTATTCCAGTTCTGTTTGTATAAATAAAGTAAATCTTTTTTTAAAAAAATAAGATTCTAAAATACAGAAAATCTCATAGAATTTAATAAAGGATTTGAGGGTCAAACTTAGAAGGCTACTGTCTGTCTCTCTACGGAAGACTGGTTTAGCTGTCAGTAGCCAAAAGACAAAATCATTGAAAACTAAATTAACCCCTTCCTCTCTATATATACAAGTCCTGAATTATTCAAAACCCATGCCTTCATGAAGCGCACAGAGAATACCACTCTCTATTAGAAGAATCATTTATTGAAGAGAATTAGTCAATGTCACTGTTATGGTTTGTGCTAAAGAAAACTTGTCTTCATCAGAGGCTCTATTAAAAAAAAAACTGCAAGATTTTTAACAAAGACTGAATAAAAACTATGAGGAAATTTTTTTTTTATTTCTGAAAGTGCTGAAGAAGAGTTTTCTGTTTGAATAGAAGAGTCAAATCTCTCATCACAGTGCTCTCATCATGGGGGAGGGTGCCTGGAGACACCTGACATACATGATGCGCACAGATGGGGCTTGGATGAGGTGCAGACTCCCTGAAGGATGGGGAAGGGTGTAGACTTTCCCAGAAAAGCTGGCCCGGAAAGGCCACAACTTTTGGAGGATATGTTACCCTGCCTCCATCCTGTCTAACATTTGAAAGACAATGCTGGTCAGCAGAGACAGCTTCTTTGCTGCTGGACTTCATACTTGCCCATTCCCTTTCTCGTGGATCAGAGAGAGTCCCTTCGTTTAAGTGTTGTCCCACTTGGGGCTCTATTTTTGCCTGATGTCTTAACACTGAGCCATCAGATTCATACATACATGCCACTTTTTCCTCTAGAATCTTCCCAATGGCTGTCATAAGCTCAACTGCTTGAGGAGATTCATAACTCATAAAGACAGCTGCACTTTGAAGTGGGTCTTGATGTTGTGCAAAAGTTGGCACAAACTTGACTTTTTGTGGGGAACTTTCCCGTCCTGTGTTTCTTCGCTTGCAATCAAGCCACTGAAATAATTGCCTTATCTTTTTTCTGAGGTAACTTTCAGTAGAAAACTGTTCATTCCCTGGCAGAAATGGAGAAGTGTCCTCTAATTCTCCATTCTCAACAGTCTCTCTCTTCTTTCTGGCTTTTGATGTCCCTCTTCCTGAGTCCTCACTTCCAGGTGAAGTGAGAACTTCAAATCTTCCTTCTTCTTTGAAGGCCACTCTCTTTGCATCTGGTGAGTTCTTATCCTGGCACCTCCTTGAGACTTGTTCAGGGACCCTCGTCTTCTGTAGCTGTTTTTTGTTCATCCTACTATCCTCCATGTGGGCATACAGCTCCCGGGAGGCTTCTGTGTCCCCACAGGAGAAGCTCTGGACAAGAGTCTGTGAGGACTTATGGGTAAGATTATCTGAAGAAAGGGGCATGTGACTGGGATGACCTTGGGCCTTGCTCTGCTCCCCACTCTCCAGTTTAATTTTTAATTCATTAAGAAGCTGTTTTTTAAAGTCTTCTGCTTCATCATCTCTGAAGCCCAGTATGTTTGTGGAGGGGCATTCAGTGGCCAAGGTAGTTTCTGCTTTAATCATATTGATATTTATCTCTTGGGAACTTCCTGTCTCTGTAGTTGTCAAAGTGTCACCAGATTGTGATTGAAAAGCACACAACTCTTCAGCCTTGTATATCTCCCTGGACACACTAAGCATGGAAAAATGTTCTGAGTTCTTCTCCACCATCATTTCATTCTGAACCATTTCTACTCTAAAACTAGAATTCACATTCTTTTCCACTGGCTCATATCCATCATCAGTCAGCCTTGTGGGTACATCTAAGCTGCATATATTGTCTAGTACAGTTTCAGTCTGAATGGCTTTGTCAGTGATGCTAGTTGTGACAAACTGATGAGTCTTTCTGACATCCTTAACCCTCTCAATGGCTGTAAGGTCATTCTTGACATCAAAGAGTGATATTTTCAAGTCTTCCTTCCCTTTACTGCCTACACATGAGATAGCCAGGCAAGGTTGGTCCAAGTTGGGGACTGATTTTGTTCTTCTCATATTGTTTCCCTGAAAAGTTTTAGTGCTTTGCTCAAGAGACTTAGACATCTCACCTTTGAAAGTCATGCCAGAAATACAGGCAGCTGAGGCTAGAAAGTCAAATTGGGGGAGAGGCCATGTCTTGGCTTCTCTCAGCATATAGAATTTTATGGATTCACGAACCTTGAAGGGTAGGCCCCACATCTGATTTACCTGAAATCTTATAATATGGGATTCTAGTACCTGTCTAGTATTAGAGTCAAGAAAATAAGGCTCTAGAGTGGTAATCTGGCAGTAGGCCTTACCTACTATTGTGTTAGCCAAATTTTTGCTTTTTGTTTTGATATGGGAACCTCCAGAAGGTAGAGATGCACTTCTGTCAGCTAGCCATGAACGACATACACATATAGGTATCCTACCCACTGTGATCTGCCAAAACTTCCTGCTCAAGTGTAATCTAAGAATGGTTTTCATTTCAGTGTCCTTCATTGAGACACTTAATAATTCATGTCTTTGACCATACCTTGAGCGAAACACACAGTTGCTTTTTTTGTCAGAGGCTGTACCCAAACCCTTCATCAAGTAGAATTCAGAGATCCTTTGTGAGCTCTTTCCTAGGATATGCTCAAGATTCTGCCTTATGTCCTTCACATGAAACTTTTCCCTCTCATGGAAACTTCCTGAAATACTACAGTCAGTCTTTATTAGATCTGTGTTATTCTGGATCTGAAGCTCAGAGCGTTGTGAGTAAGCAAGTGTGCCTTTCTGCTGGGATTTTTCTGTTAGCTTACACTGAGGTTCCAGGAGTACTAGAGACTCTGTATTCCTACAGGCATGGAGGCACTGGTGTGGGATTAGTCTCTGTGGAGTATGGCTGTCCAATTTCTCCTGGGATTCACTGGTCATACAAAAATGGCCAGGGAGGAAAGAAACAGGTACACAGGCCTGGGATGTATGCCTAACCAATGGAATATTGGGGGGGTGTGGACAAATGGGCCCTTGAGGTTTGTGGACTTTGGAGACTAATCCCCACAAACATTCCTGATGCTTCCGCAATGCATGCCATTTCAGGTGCTGATTTTCTGTTGTGATAGGAGAGTCTGACTCATTCTGGCATGTACGAAATGACATTCCATAGCCTCTAATCTGGGACAGAGAAGCAGATGGTAGGATTGGAAATCGTGATTGAAGGTGGGCTTGGGGCTGGATCTGAGAGAAAGTTACAGGATGGAATTGAAATTTACTTTGAGACATGGGACTGGAATGTACATTGGAGAGGGGAATGGGATGGGAATGAAAAAGTAGTGGAGATTCTTGATCCCACCTTTGAATCCCAGAAACTTTACCTATTCCATTGAATAAGACAAAGTGAGGATCTAGAGTGGAACCACTACTAGAAACTAGGAGAGTAGCCACTAATGACTCACTGTGCAAAGAAGGAAGACCCCAGAAGAGTTGACTGTATTTCTGCTGCAAATTTTTCCCCAAAGTCTTGACATATAGGAGCTGTGGACACATGTGCACCTGCTTAGGCTTGCCTTTAGTGTTCCAGCCAGTTCTTGGGGTTGTGGCTTCTTGGACATCAGATGACTTCAGTGAATTACCTAAAGATGTCTGTGAGTCTTCAGGCCACATTTTTTTAAAAAGCAGTCCCTCCTCCTCTGCTTTTTTCTCTAAAGTCTGCAAAGTTGTTCTCTTTTTTATTTGTCTCTCTAAGAGATCCTGAAGATTAAGACCAAGGAAAGAAAGGTTACTGGCCTCCAAGTGTTTAGTAGCAGATCCTTCCCAGAGATAAGTCTCTGGAAAATGGACAGAAGCATGCTCTTGCTGAATATCGGAATTTGATAATGAGGGGAGGAATAGGTTCTCATCATGAGTCTGACACCAAGGTAATTCTGAACATGATGGGCTTGAATCGTCAGGGCCTCTGGTTGCTGGGACATACGTGGACAGCCCTCCAGGGTTATCTGGCGATGAGCTCTCTGGGACAAGCTTCTTTAAGATGGAAATTGATTTAGATTGAGACACACTTAAAGTGTATTCTGGTGATGATGAAACAGACAGTGTCGATGGTTCAAGATGAACAGCATATGAATCAGTGGAATTCATTACTTGAGGGAAATCTGGTAAGGCATTGGTGTTTTGGGAAAGAGTGTGATCAATTGAGTGGGTATGCAGACATAAAGGGGCCTCTGGTTGGAGACTGTCATCTACTCTCTCGGTTTCATGTGGTGGGAGAGGGCAAAAATTATTGGTTGATGGTGGGTAATTGTCCAGTGGAAATTTGGAATCCCCCTGAGGTAAAGGTTTTGGTGACAAAGAGTAACCTGGTGGTGAGGGTGAGCAAGAGTCGTCCACAGGGGTCATTGGGTTAGGTGAGATAGTGAAAGCGGGTGGGGGGGAAGGCTCAGGCAGAGGAACTGATGTTAGGTCTCCTGGAGGAACTACTGAGAAGGCAGGGGACAAAGTAAGTGATGACTCAGTCACAGGAACTGTGGAAGCCAAATGCGACACAGAAGGAGTAGCATCTTTCAGGGCCTTCCGGAACACCAGTCGATAAACCTCAGCAGTTGTTCTATTACACACCTCACAGAAAGGGTCTGGACATAACAACTGACGACACTGGGTGATGGTGTGATGCTGGCCCAGGCATCTGCAGGAGACAGAGGTACAAAGCTACAACCAGGACCAGAATAAATATGTGGAATCTAGTAAGTCTAACAAAACAGGGACCTCATGACACATACTGTCCTCTCATAATTTCCTGTTTTCTTGATCTTACAATATACTTTTTATCCCTCATCCCAAACTTTAGCATTTTGACTCTGAAGATTTTCCCTCCCATGTCAATCCTACACCACCTGAGGACCTTGGAATTCTAACACTGCTACACAGAAGAACATAGAAAGGAAGACAATGTTTGGTCACCTTTGCAGAAGAGAAAACACCTCCTTCGCATCATCTGCTTCTCTCTGGCAAGTTCTCAAACCTGGGAAACCAGTATAGTGATGAAGGCAGATACAAAGAAATTTTACAGAAGACTGAATAAAAAGTCATTTAGTTGTATCCTTGGTAGATTGGACTTGGAGAGACCCAAGAATTAGTGAGCAAGGTCCCATCATCAATTTTAGTAATAACAAAACTCACATGTATGTGTTGTTTTATCATTCACCAAGTATTTCACATGTATTATCCTGTGTAATACTCAGTACCATCCTGTAAGGATTATAGGTTACCTCAAGAAGGAATCTAATCTTCTATGAAGTACGAGTGCTTTTAGAAAGTTAGGGGACAGAAATTCTGATGCTCGGTATATCCATGGCCACCTGCTGGGCGATACCCATTACCCAGGTCCATTATTGCTCGTGTCCTGGGATGGGCAGAGCAGGGAACCTGAGAAGTGTCTCAAGTTCTAAATGCCATTTCATTAGCCTTTTCTCAGAGGTCCCTGTTTCAGAGGGGAACTAACATTAGCAGAGTTCAGATTTGGGAGTTCCTGAAAAGGAGGAAGAGGAGCACCTGTGGAAAACTAATTTGGAATAGGCAGAACCTTACCTTTGGGTGTTTCACCTTTCCCTTTCTCCTTGGCTTTGTCCTGAGAACAAAAAGAATGAATGGATGGATGGATTTAATTCTGCCACTCTTTATAGAAAACTCAGAAATACACTCCAAGAATAAGAAGAAATATACCGTTTTCATTAGTAAAGCTTTGAATTCCTTTTTTTAAATAACCTTTTAAACATGATAAAAATATTTTCCATTTTCCTTCTTTAAAAACCCAAAGATATTACCTGTGAGATCTACATTGTTGTTCTCACTCAGCAATTCTCTATTTAGTGAGGTTTAGAATACTGAGGCCAATAGTCTTATATGGGCTCTATTAGATGGGATCCTGGATCTTAAAAACTCAGGCCCTAACCTTTGCTCAGGGGCACTCAACTCAGCTCTGCTGTTCCAACATTTCAACACTCATAAAGACTTGATCAAGTGACACCTATCATGGGGATATGATTCCTGATCTAGTGTTGGGGAAATTTGTTGTCCTGCAGAGATCCTAAACTCTCTAAGTAAGCTGATCCTAAATCACTGTGTTGATATGTTATGTGGAAGTAGAAACTTACTACCACACCCAAAGATCATCTCATCTGTAGATTACCCTTTATGGTTAAAGAAAGAATAAGTGAATTAAAATATATATCACAAGAAACTATCCAAATACAAATAGAGAAAAATTTAAATATTTTAACCTAGAATATTCAAGGACTGGGAGAAAGATTCAAAATATATATGCCTGCACACACACAGATATCAGATACACACACACACATAGACACACAAACATGGGTGTCTTATGTCTTGTGTGTGTGTGTGTGTGTAATTGTAATACCAGAAGAATACAATCAGTATTTGGAGAGGGGGGTTGTTTATGTTTTGTTCATTTTTTTCTTAAAGTGTTATAATCCTCTTAGTTCTCCCACCACCATATCATCCACAAACCATCACCATATTCCCTTGTGTCCTCCCCTCCCCTGTATTGCACACCCTCTCACTCACTCCATTGCTGTGTGCCTCAGTTCTGTGGTCAACTTGCTAGTTTTTACTTTTTCTTGACCTTTTATTGGGTTTCTCTATATTCCACATATGTCAGACTTTCTGGTATTTATCTTTTTTATTCTGACTAATTTCATCTAGTATAATCCCTTCCAGTTCCATCCATGTGCAAATGGCATGAATTTGTATTATTTGCTTACTGAGTAACAGTTCACAAGATAGACCACAACTATTTGGTCCTTTCATCTATTGAGGCATTTGGATTGTTTCCATATCTTAGCTACTATAAATAATGCTGCAATAAACATAGGAGTGCAGACTTCCTTTTGAATTAGTGTTTTTGTGTCTTTTGGGTAGATTTCTAGGAGTGGAATTGCTGGACAATATGATCCATGCATTTTGAGTGTTCTGAGGAACTTCCACACAGCTTTTTACAGTGGCTGGAGCAGTTTTTGTTCCCACCAGCAGTGCAAGAGAGTTCCTTTATCTCCACATCCTCTCCAGCATTTGTTATTTTTAATTTTTTTTTTTTTTAAAGATTTATTTATTTATTCATACAGAACTGGGGTACAGGCCAGAGGCTCAGGGACGGTGAGAGGCTTCACCAGAGACAGAGTGGGGAGCAGAACAGGCAGATTGACGAAGTACACTGCTGAGGGGAGCAGCGGGCGGGTCAGGAGAGGTCTGGCTCGCCATGTGGTCTCCTCCGGGGCAGGCGGCAGGCGGGAATCGAACTCATGCGCAAGTGGCTTCAGATTCTCAGTGCTGTGCTTTAACCCGCTGCGCCACCAGGGAGGGCCTATTTTTAATTTTTTTAATGTTGCCCATTCTTACTGGAGTGATGTGGTATCTAATGTGGCTTTGATTTGCATTTTCCTGATAACTAATAATGTTGAACATATTTTTCATATGCTTGTTGACTGTTTGCCTTTCTTCTTTGGAGAAAGATCTTTCTAGAGAATCAATATTTAATAATGACCAAAGATTTTCCAAAATTCATGATAAATGCTAAAAAAAAAAAAAGCTATATCTGGACATATAAAATTCAAGTGAAAGGAAAATAAGAGATAAAGTCATGAAAGAATCCAGAAGTAGGGAGGCACCCTTAAACAAAAAAGGGTAAAAATTATGAATCTACATCATAAACAACACAAGCAAGAAAGTAGAGTGAAAACTTAAAGTTGGAAGCAAAAAAAAAAAGCAAACTATAATTTTATATCTAAAGAGATTAGCTTTCAAAAGTGAAGGAGAAATTAAAATTTTCTCAGACAAACAAAAGCTGAGGAGAGCCATGAAGAAAACTAGCCTGCTATGTTGTATGAGGTAATTCTTCAGGGAGCAGGAAAAAAGAAGATACCCTGGAGCTACATAAAAAGAGAAGGAATACCCCTGGAGATTATAACTGAGATGGAAAAACTTAACAAAAGGATGTAAAAATAAACGATTATATTATTTTTAAACAAATTTAAAAAGAGAAGGAATAAAGAAAAAAAGTAACATTTTTCTTAATTCACTTACTAATAATACAACATATTGTGTAACTATAGCACTTATAAATGGAAATGAAATAAAATAATGGAATAACAAACAGTAGGGAGGAATTGGGCAAATACTGTTATGAGTTTTGTTTAAGGGTGCCTCCCTACTTCTGGATTCTTTCATGACTTTATCTCTTATTTTCCTTTCACTATACTACCAATGATGTGATATGCTATTATATAAAAATAGACACAGATTAGTTATAAAACATATAAGCATATATGTGTGTGTGTGTGTGTGTGTGTATGTATAAAATAAATTCTTAAGGCAACCATTAAAATATTTTAAAGAAGAAACAAAATGGAATTACTTAATATTTATTCAAAACCAGAAAAGTAAAAAATAGCAGGAAAGGTAGAAAAAATGGGGAAGAAGAAAATAGATGTTATTTATGCTATAAATAAAAAAATAATTCCACTACATTGGAATAATCACTAAAAGTAAATGCTCAAAATTCACCAATTAAAAGAGGCTGTTAGAGTTGAATAAAAAATAAAAATGAGATTATCTTTGGTGTGAAAAAAAACATTAAATATGAAAATGCAGATAGAGTAAAAGTAAAGAAGTGGTGAGAAATGTACTATGTTTACACCAACCAAAAGGAAATAAGAGTGACCTCATTAATTTCAGACAAAGAGTAGGATAGAATACATTGATTTGTCAGAACTAAAGTTAGGCATTAGGTAACAACAAAGTGGTCAGTTCTCCATTAAGAAACAATAATTCTTACTAAGCTAACAAATATGTAAAGCAAAAATTGGTAGAAATGCAAGGACAAATAGATGAATCTACTTTTACTGAATCTACTTTCAAAATGTTTCTATCAGAAATGGACAGATACATTACACCAAAGTTGTAAGGATATATCTATAGAGTTACTCTGGATAGTACCGTCAAGCAACTTTACATTAATTTAAAATTTTATTTAACAACAGAAATACATATTCTTCTTAAGCTCACATAAAATATTTGCTAAGATTGATTATATTCTGAGCCAAAAAATGCCTTAACAAATAATAAATAATAGAAGCCATGTAAATTATGTTTTTGCAACATAATGGTATGACATTAAAAATTAGTTACATAAAGATAGCTAGAAAATCCAAAAATATTTGGAAAATAATATACCACTAACACATTGGTTAAAGATAACCTTAGTGAAAGTGAAAATACAAACATAAACATTTCTGAGGTACAGAAAGCAATTCTTAGAAGTAAGAGATAGAAAGCATTGAATGCACATATTTGAAAGATTTGGTATATCTGAGGGACTCTTTTTTAATTACCTGATTGATATCTCTCTTTTTCCAAAATAATGAGCAACTAGGATTCCTCTTTAGGTAGCACAGTAACAGAAGGAGAACCCCCACCCCACACACAAAGGCAAGGATGGGAATACCTAGGAAGACAAACTGGAGATCAGCCATAAAGCATTGATACTCCTCAAACAAGGAAGGTGGCCCCCATCATTAGAAGTCCATGGCCATCTCAGTCACCTTGGTAATGATAGTGCACATTCTAGAGTTCCAAGTCCACATCACAGAGCTTTGGCACAGGTAACAA